TATCTTGGACTGAGATTGGGTATGTTAATTGAATATACTTTGTTGAGAACCATTTTGTATGAGTTTGTCTATTTTAATTAAGTTATTAATTTTTATTGTTCTTATTTGTCTAAGATCGCAGTCAAGCTGATCAACGATCACTTACGCAGTTCAACTTCGAGTGCAACAAACTATTTGTTCATCAAATTCCCGCAAGCGTACAGGTTCGTTGACAAGTAATAATCGTGATAAGAGAGTTATCGTCCCACGAGGAATAAGAATCAATTTTAGTATATTTGATATATTTGAATTCGTGTTTGTAACTAAAAGATGATCGAAGGAATAGCTAAAGAATTTTGTTATATCTAAGACTTGTGAAAATAATTAAAATTGGTTTAAAAATTCAAATGTATGAACGTATTGAATTTCTGACGCCATTGATTAATTCTTAGTTCTAATTCTCAACCAGTGTTAATTATCTCAATTTATGCAATTATGACGATCGATAATTCCACTATTATTTATTATTCTTTCCCAAGATATAATAAACATATGTTTACCACGAGACGATCCTATTCCTAATCCGAATTCATATGGTGAATATGCATTGACATTTGGGATTATCACATATAATCGCACACGCCACAAATATTATTCCTAATATTTATTGCCCATGTGTTCCAATAATAATGTTCTACCTATCGTGAGTTTTCCAACACAATGAATAAGCAACTTATTGTTCTAATGGTGCGCAAACATTAAAATAATGTAAATAAGCATATTAATGGAATCACAATGCAATAGTTAACATAAGAACATAGGTTTCGAATTAAAACTAAAAATTAAACAATTTAGCCTAGCATAATGTTGGAATTAAACATATAAAAGAGGAAAGAAATCACCGAGAAATTGACGAAACATGATTAATTCCACAAATTTGCTCTACTTTTGCGCGTCTGTTAATTTCTCCGAGGCAATCGTCTTTTTTTTTTCTGCCGACACACCTTTTTATTCCCAAGTAGCAAGCCATGCAATTCCAGCAGCCCTTTTATTTGTTGGTTAATCTGTGAGATTGTGGGTGTGGAATATATATATAAAATATGGTAGCTTCCAATTTGTTTGTATATGAAAATCTGCCCAATTTCTGCTATGTTTCCCTCAACAATTTCCCAAGCAGCTGGTAGCCCTTCTTAATGTGTGTCTTCCTCCTCCCAATGTTGGTGTGTAATATTCTCTTTAGTTGGCTTCTGTTTCCCTCCACGCAACCCCTAAGTTTCAAGTGAAAAGCTGTCTCCAACAATTGTTTTCAAGAAACTCCCAGCGACTCCCCAAGTTGGCAGCCTTCTTAATGGTTTTTCTCCAAAAGAAATGTCCACTTTTTCCTTCAATCTGCTCTCCCCCAAGCACCATCAATTCTTCCTTGACAATCTCCTCCCACAGCTCCCTCTCTTTTCTAATACATGAGGATAGTTTCTTCCAGCAGAAGGCATCCCCGTTTCATATGGTTTTTGTCTCCCCCACTAGCCGTTATTGATGCGTGTATAATCTATCCCGAGCAGCCGGCAATTCACATGATTGTATGAGTAATTTCCACCAGTCGGCAGTCTTTTTTTTTTCTCTTTTTCCTCCCTTCCAGCCGTCTGTCTTCTCTAGGTTTTCTTCCTCCCTTATTCTTTCGGTAAGTGCGTGTATATATACTTGAAATTAGCCAACCAACTTGACCAAAAAGAAACCCAAATTCAGCCCCATGCAGCCCTTTTAGTTGTAACCCAATTGGAAGTCCAATTAAGTATTAAAGTTGAATTCCAAGGCATGTCCAATTGAGGCCCATTAATCAATTATTTCTCTCCAAGTACTCAATCTTCAAAGCGAAGCAAATCAGTCCTTCCATTTTTATAGTTACTTTGATTCCCAAAAATTGCATCCAATGGCCAGTTTAATCCACATACTTTGGATTTTGCTATTTCCGCCCTTTTTGCTTCTTTCCTTCCATTCCTTTTTATTCGTAGAGTTTCACATATTAAACATAAAATATAACAATTTAGAATGTATTTTGTCAAAAGACTATCAAATATTGCTATTTTAGAGTCCCGAATAAGTGTATAAAATACACTTATCACTATTTATTGGGAGAATATGATAGGGAACTTCCTACTCGACTTCATTCAAAAAAGAAAATATAGTTTAAGCCTATAGTACTCTCTAATAACCAGCCATATAATAAAAAGATCATAAGGTTATCACTGCAGGCCTCTATACATAACCATTGCGACTGCATGTTCACATGAAAAATTCTTCAACTTAAATTGACGATCAGTCAAGTCCATTGTGTATGCGATATTACGTGCACATTTTACGAAAAGAAGGCAGCTCATCCAGTGATTCCACATTTAACTTCTCTCGTAGCCTTGAAGAGTTTATCCTCCTTAGTAGGACTAGCACGCTTGTGCAACTATGTGACCCCGCTCATCAATCGTTAAACTAATGCTATAGTTTGTTACAAACGTTCACAATTGTTGAGAGAATTGGTAACTCTTGATTATTTTTGAATAATGCACTGAGAGACTCCGCATTGTTTAACGTCATCATATTGTATCGACGTCCTGGAAAAATATGATTATGCCTAATGTTCAATCATTGAGAGACTCTGCATTGTTTGACGTTATCATGTTGTATCGACGTCCTGAAAAAATGTGATCGCGCTCAATGTTCAATCCCCATTTTCATTAGATAATCACATGCCGAGAATGATTTACTTTCTATTTCTACAACGAACTTATTATACTCTTTAACACTGAAAGCTTGTGCCGATCTTCTAAACAATGAGATGATGACTTTGCCCCAATACCTAGTCTTTAGGTTACCTTTTATATATTACATACAATACCCATGATGTGCTTCGGGACAAACTTTGACGATACCATTTATTATTGATGGTCCCTTTATCAATTACAAAGGCAAGGTCTTTGTTATCTCCAATTACTTTTCCTAGCTTTGTAAAGAACCAACGCGTTGATAGATCATTCTCGCTATCAACTATACCGAACGAAAGATGGTAAGTTTGGATATTCATATCTTAACATGTAGCATAACTATCCTTGATCTAGTTCATTAAATCTTCCAACGCGCATTATTTAACCTTCTAGGCTTTCTAGTAGCTCATGACCACTATGTACTCTCGACTTGTCGTTAATAATGTTCGAAGGTCCGTGGATCCTAATACTTGTGCATTATTTGTCGACCAATAAATCATGCTCAGGCTTGCCTATGATCATTTTGATGAATTTCTACTTCATAAATATGTTCCCGTATATACTCGCGAACTATAAATAACTCATTCGTATCCATTTTCGTCGCTCGCAAATGCCAATTGCAATCATCGTCGACGTAGAAAATTGTTAACAATAACTTGTTTGATTTCTTCACTTTGAACTCAAAATTGTATTTCAATGCAATTCGATACATAGCTTCCTGCAAATCTTTCTTTGTTGAAAATACTTGCTCGACATACAAATCTTCATAATTTGAAATCACACGTGANAACAAAATTTTTAATTATAAAAAGCATAGTCGAAAAAGTCGGTTAGCCACTGGGCAACGAAATTTTTAATTAAAAAAATTATGCGGCCCAATCGACTGGGTTGGTTATTGTCAGTTAGGTATTAACAGTCCCCTTTGTACATTGTTATGAATCTCGTTTGAAAAAATATCTGTTAAAAAATTCATCTAAATGTTAATTTATGTCAAAATAAGATTTATTGATGAAAATGTATAATAATTTAATGAATATGAAAATAAACATGAGTAAATATACTTATCGATCGAAGTGATGGATGTAAAAAATACTTTCTTGTTCAACGTTTAATAAATTTATGATATTTTGACATTGAAGTAGATAAAAAATTAGAGAATTTTTATCTGTGTTGGAATAAACAAATAAAAAAATGAGCTGATTTTGAAATTTTAAGTGAAGTGTTTGATTTTTACTCGTTAACTAAAATTTTAGTAATATCTTTAAAAAATTTTTTTTTTTTTATAATTGTATAACATATTTAAGAGCATCTTTGTCTTTTAACACCTAAAGGCCATTGTGAAGTATGAAAATTAGAGGGGGTTAGACTAAATTTAAAAGTACTCCCAATATCTTGCTTATTGTAAAGTTTAAGGGAAGGCCCACTTGGAGACTTTGAATCACAATAGGAAATGCGTAGGTTGCAATGAGTCGTTCAGTTGATAAGCAAAATAGAATTAACTAGTTTAAATATCTAATTATGCTTACAAAACATGTCATTATTGAAATTGAAAGTTTGGGAATATCTAATTCATGCATGTTGCAAATTTTATAAAGAGCACGACAACATGCGTCTCTATTTAATTGATTTTACATGCACTAAAGTATTTATTTTTACAATGAGATAAGAATTACTTACAAGCATTGGAAGTGGTGCCGCAATTAAATTTTTTTAACAGCGCTAAGCCCCTGTTTAACAATTATAATTTGGATAAAATAGAGTTTTGAATATATATATATATAAGAATGTGTGATTAAAAAATAAATTTTTTTTTAATTTTATATGCACAATCGTTTATTGTGTGAAGAGGGGTTGAAAATAAATAATGGGTGTCAAATAGGGACTAAACAATAATCATCCCAATCTTAGTCATTGTTTTGGTTTTTTTTTTTTTTTTTTTTCAAAATACATATTTTCCCATAAAATAATATTACTTGTAAATTTAAAATTTTTTATTTTTTATTTTTTATTAATCATATATTCTTAAAAAATCAGTATTTTATAACCCATTTTCTCCAAAAATTTCATTTCGGCGGAGCGCAGACAGGACTTAGTGTTACTTACATTTCTGTAATAGTTAGTAACAGGCCCATTATTCTCAAAGCCCACACGTTAGGACAACCAAACTGTATACGCCCAGTCCCATGCCCAATCAGATATCTCATGACGGACGGTTCAGATTTGCTTAAATTAGGGTCCAAACAATCGTAGGTCCCGGGTCTCCTGATCCGGGCGTATCTGATAACACCTCGAAGCATTTGCCCTATAAATGGCGGGATCCTCTTGCCTACCAGAATTTTGTTTCATACGCCAAATTCGCTCTCTGTGTCGTCAACGTTTCTGAACTCTCTTCAGTTTCCAGTCCCTTTAAACCCTCCGTTTTAATTTCTCCTTCTGGATTTTTTCATTTTAGGGTTTTGAATCACCTTAATTTTCTCCGTCGTTCTGTTTTTCTTGTTTTAGGGTTTTGAATCTTAAATTTTATTTTTAGTTTTGGAAGTGAGGACACTAGAGAAGTATCTTGTACAGAATGGAGGTTGCGGTCAGTGATGCTGCCGGGCGTGGCGTTTCTTTGCCGATGTCATCATCTTTTCGCAGGGATTGGCATGTTATCCCGGAACAATCGCTTCGAAACTCTGCTAATGAGGTGCTTTTTTCTGTAAATTTCTACTTGCATTTGCTTGATTTGATCTCAACTTTCTGGGTTCTTATTCATATTAAAACCAATTTGTTGCTACATTGTATCTAAACGTAGGTGCTCTTTAATGTAAATATCTACCTGCATTGGCTTTATTTTGATAATATTTTGTGTGATTTTCGAAATTTTTTTTTACCAAAAAAAATTTCTTACTATATATTTATCTTGTATCTTGGCGATACCATGTAGGAGATGGAGCGTTTGAAGCTGGGGCAATGTGATGAGAGATTGATATATGAGGTAACAATGCCTTCTTCGGAACTGGGGAATTAGTTTCATTGTACTAGTTATCTTGTTTTCTTGTCAGTTAATGTGAGAGAGTGGTAATGAAGAGAGTTAGTGTGTTGTATTAAGGTGCAACAGCAGATCGAGCCAGTGGACTTGAATTTCTGCTCCATTCCAATTGATGGAAGGTTGGAAAGTGATATTTCGCATCAGCGATTTCATGCTATTGCAAAACGAAGGGAGGAACTGCAGCATGTGGAGATTGAGCTCCGGGCACAGATAATTGCAGGATCAGAGGTTATGCAGATGCAGAATAACTTTGATGCTCAGATCAAAGAGCATGCAAATGCCAGTGTCAAGCTTCAGGTTTTGTTGTTTTTTTACAGTTAACCATTGTGCACATGTATTTAAATATACGTGCATGATTATATTTTGTATCCATAGTATTTTGTTTCTGATCCTTTTGTGTAATGAGTACAAATGGATTTTTAGGAGCAATTGAATGAGAAGGAACAAATGATACACCAGCTGGAGAGAAAGATTGAAGAGAAAGAAAGGGAGTTGCATGCCATTAGATTAGATAATGAAGCGGTTAGTTTGAAATAAAAAATTGTAGTCTCCTTTTGGTTCTGCTGCTGATGCGTTGTTACTGTTTTCTTCATCTAATTTAACAGGCTTGGGGCAAAGAGGATCTTTTAATGGAACAAAGCAAAGAGCTCCAGAGTTATAGGTAGTTTGTGATCCTGTTGGACACTTCACACCTGTATTTGGTCTTGAATTATAGGTTTTCAGCAATTTATAAGATGATTAAGAGTTGTGCAAGAGATACTTTGTTGTTATGTGAAATGTTTTAGGTTTCTAAAATTATGAGTTTTGGGGATTATAACTTGAACGGGCTCATATATTAATAGTAATAATGATGACGATGACGGTGGAGACTCTGACGATGATAATGAACTGCATCCCTTTGCAGGAGAGAGAGGGATAATTCTGAAGCTGAGAAGGCACAACATATTGAACAAATTCATGATATTCAAGAACGTATTCAGGACAAAGAACAACGATTCATGGAGTTACAGGAACAGGTATATTGATATATTTGTGTGTGTGACCATATTCAAGTGACATTGACTGACTAAATTTTCTGAAGCACATATTTGCTCATTGTATCATTTCCTATTCTTTTGTAAAGTTTTAAACACCTTATTTAAATTGTCTGAAAAGCAATATCCATGACATTGACCAACTCATTTAATTTACCTAGCCTTTTTAGACTGCTTGCGCATCTGCCTTGGTGCAGTCCATGCTCAGTCAATGCTTTCTTGAAATCACTTGCCATACATAATTTTTAAAATGCTTGGATTTACTTTTAACAGTTACGTTATCTCTGCATTCAGAATAGGATTGTTCAAGAGACCATTCTTTTAAAGGATGAGCAGCTAAGAGAAGCACAATCTTGGATGACTCGCGCTCAGGAAATGAGTGCTCTGCAGTCAACTGGTAACCATACTTTACAAGCTGAATTACAAGAACGCACAGAACAATGTAATCAGCTGTGGTTTGGTTGTCACGCTCAGGTGACTAAGATTATTACTTTAGTTCCCAAATAAGAAAACTGATCTTTCATTTTGTTTTAATTAGAGACTGATTACATTTCTTATATTTTCTAGTTTGGTGAGATGGAAAGGCTTCATCTGCATATACAACAACTCCTGCATGAATTGGCTGATGTAAGAGAAAAGAGTGGAAGTGAATCTGATCGTTCACGTGTCTCGCAGACAGGTTTAAACGATGCTTCTCATGTTGGACAGAGCAATGGTACCCAAGTGAGTGGAAATTTTATACCGCTGGAGAACTCTGGCAACCTACAACATGAAAATGCTGAAAGCTCTTCATCATTTCCTTCAGGAGGAAATGCATCAATGCAGGTAGAATAAGTAGTACGATTTCTATGGGTTGTTCTAATCCTTTACCATGAATTATAAACTTTTAACAGATGCATGTAGGCCAAAAACATTGTTCTTTTCTGATAGCAAGTTTGATTAATTTATGATGTCTCTTTTGTGTAAAATATATGGGCTTGAATAATTTTCCATGTTAAGTATTTTACTTCCTGGCACCATCTCTAGATTATCACTAGGTTATTCATTTTTCTCGATACGTGATGTGAACACCAGATTTTGGCTATGGGGATCTAACAATGAAGGCAACACTATTTTTTATTGATCACATGCACATGACAGATTTAGTAACATATAGAAAAGTTTTGTCAAATAGACTCTCTACTAAAAAAGTTGTTATTTCACTGTCCCCTACACAAGTTTACTGAGATTAAGACTCATTAATAATTGTATCATCATATGCTTCCTCCTTCCCCTATGCCTGCTGGAAAGAATGTAGAGGATGAAAAGATGGCCTCTTATAGCACAACACCCTGACTTGCACAAGATGCATAAATCAACTTGTGACTTGTTGGGACTCTTTCTTTGATTCTAAAAATCACCTTTTTTTTTAGATTGAGCATGTTCAAGGGGTTCCATTTACTCCATCCCTACCTGGAATGCCAACCTATATTCCTCCTGGGCAATTGCAACCACTTGTAACGACGCATCAGCTAGGATTACCTCATACTTCTGTCCCATCACATGTGACCCTATCTCTTTCGCACTCGGTTCCTGCGCTGTCATCTCATCAACATTGGCAGAGCTATGTGGTAGAATAATTAATTTGATTCTTTTGCTGCTTCCCATTTTCAATTTCAATTGCATATAAATTTGAACCCTTTGTCCTTTGTTTTGTTTTAAGGCTGCATCGGATGGACAACATATGCCTTCTCAGGAACTGTATCTTCAAAGAGAACAAAACTCGTTCAGAGTAGATGTTAAGTATGACTACGAAGCATCTATGAATGGGCAAGTTCTTATTGGAAACTATTTGGATGCCCACAGCAATCAGGGGATGGAAACTGTTTCTGTTGTTCCATCACTGAATGAAGAGGGACAGGTTGTTAATTACCCATGGAAAATAGTACTCCAGATATATTATTTGCTTTCAAATGCTAAGCTTTTCTCAACCAGGTTCTCGAGTCTATAGATAAAAGTTACTACCCAGTTGGTGCCCAATCTCAGCAGAGCTTGCAACAAATTTCTTCCCAGTTTCATGAGGCTCTAAGATTGGATTTTCTTGAAAACAATAATGAGAGAAAGGTTTGTTCACTGTTATTTTTCCTTGTTTAATTTCTCATCACAAAATGATCACTTTTTCTCCTTTTGCTGATATTTCATGGTCTTGTAAAGATATAGTGGTTCTACTTTTAGTCACGTTAGATTGAGAGCTCATCTTGAATTTCAATTGGCACAGGAGATGAATGTCAATGCTGTTGCTGGTCATGCACAAGAGAACAAAAGTTTCGTGATAGAAAAACCTGATTCTACGGATGATGCATCCTCTACTGAAGCTCCAAATCATGCTGTAAATTTCAGTGAAACGATGATTAATACTGCCTCAGATTCTGTCCAGACTGATGCCTTTGTTTTCACTCCACAGGAAAGTACACATGCAATTGGAAAACCTCTAGAGAGTGCACTCCTCGATGAAAGATCATTACTGGCTTGCATTGTTCGTACAATTGGATCTGGTGGCAGAACTAGGATTAGTTCAACGGTTAGTTAAATTGGATTTGTTTGTTTGGTATATAAACTAGTTAGCAAAGTGTTACCGATGTTTTATGATTTGTTTGATAATGGGCATTCCTTGTGTGATTTACAGCTTCCAAATAGACTTGGAAAAGTGCTGGCCCCTCTACAATGGCATGACTATAAGCAGAAGTATGGGAACTTCGAAGATTTTGTGATCAGTCATCCCGAAGTATGCCTTCCTCCTGCTACTTCTCTGCTTCAGATTTTTTACGAAGTTTTATATTACATACTTAATATTTGCTGCCTCTTTAGTTATTTGTAATTGGAGGAGACTACATTCAGCTTCGCGAAGGTGCACAAGAAAAAATAGCAGCCACTGCAGCTATTGCTGAAGTTACTGCTGCAGCATCATCTTCTTATTCAGTACAGATACCTTCTGTTGCGGTCACTCCTGTGGCACATCCCAACCGGTTGAAGAAGGCATCCTCCCTTGTATCCACGTCTGCAAATATTGTTGGAAAACCACATCAGTTCTCGTCAATAATGCAGAATAAGAATTTGAAAGGTGTTTCTTTTGATGGAAACGGGGGCGTCTCAAAAATTAAAATTCTGAGTAAACCTAAAGATCGGGTTGAAAGAATCTGATACTAGGCCTCAGCAGCCTAAACTATTGATCTTTGGAAATGGAACGGACTCTGGTATACATGTTTCCTCAGGAAGACCTGGTAGTTTGATTGGCAAACAACGGGGAAGGTATTGAGTTCAGAATTTCATACGACTGCTTAATTTATCCAGTACTGTTGAATAGATTCTTACTGCTCTTTCCTCATGAACACCCGGTTTGCTTCGAGTTTTAGAAGATAGTTTGTTTTGATAAACATGTTTTTAAGTCCGATTTCTTCTCAGCGTAATTCTATTCAATATCAGTAGTGTTAACAATCAGTTTAGGCAGTAATTGCATGACATTAAATTATAAATTCGCTTAAATGCAATGTCACGAATCTATCAAATGTGGCTATCTAAACTGGTGTTAGATATCATTATTATTCTTCTTAATATACTTGATGCATATTTTTAACCTGTTGTGACTGCTTTGCAATGAGGTTAGATATGAGATATTCAGAACCCTCCATTCTTTGGTCAGTAAAATTAAAGGTGGGGATTAAAAGAAGAGTTGGTGTTTCCTTGGTGGTGGTAGGAATATAATCCATAACAACAGAATGTGGGGTCCAATGTACAATAGATTGTAATTATTCCATGTTCCCTGCTTGGAGGCAGGCCATAAGTTTGTATCTATTCTACATTTGTGCATTCCATCCACCCACTTGATTCTCCAATTTCACACTTTGTGGGTGTTTGATATCCCTTTTTATAGAAAAAATGAACTTTAGCATCAATATATATTGATGGACAATGTGTGGATGAAAAAAAAATATATATATATTTACGTATAATATATTAAAAATGAAGAATGTGTGGTTAAAAACTTTTATATTTTTTGAAAAAATTAGGTCCACTCCAACCTTTGCACAAAGTACAAATAGACCATTCTTAGGTTAAATTAGCACGTTAGAAGTACTGTACAACATTAACCGAGGTAAATTATGGAGCCATGTCAGGCTAACTTTTCGATAATGTTTATGGGAAAATTGAAGTAAATGGACCCCAATCTTTGCTCTTATTGCAGTTTTGGTCCAAACTTTTGAAATGTAGTGCAAATGGTCCTGAACTTTTGCAAATTCCATCCAAAAGGAGTAAATTTTGTGCGTGATGTGAAATTCCCTTAATTTCTGTTTCTTTGAGAGGGCATTATTATAAAAGGACGGAAAAATAAAATTAAGGCAACTGAATTTCGTGCATAAATTAACGGTCCTTTTTGGATGAAATAAAGACAAAATGCAAACATTCAGAATCGTTTGCACTACATTAAGAGATTTGGACCAAAATGCAATAAAGATAAAGGTTTGGGACTATTTGTGCCAATTTTTCATCTTCATATTAAGAAGTTAAAACTTCATCGTTGGTACTTCGTTATATTTTGCCACATTCTTTACAAATTTTAAATCGATATTATCAAGAAATTGTATAAAGTGAGAAAATTTATTGAAGTCAAATTCTTTTACATAATAAAGTTTCAAAATTTAGTTTAATCAATTTGTCGTTAAAAGGTTAGGGTCCAATATGGATTTCAATTGCATACCAAAAAAATCTACGAAAATCAATCATTTATTAAAAGTGAATGCAAGGAAGAAAAATTGAAAATGACAATACGGGTAAAAAGGAAATTATGTTGTACAAAAATATCTCTTCGGCTTTTAAAATATTTAAGTATCTCTCAATATTTATTAGATATTTTAAAAGCAAATACCCTTAATTTAGAGATAAAAATTTCAATGACCATAATAGTTTAAACAACGTTGTTTCCTAATACTTGCTGAATTTTAAGATTTTTTTTGCAAATTTTGAGCTTGTTTGGTAGGGCTTAAAAATCAATTAAAATCAATTTTTTGACTGTTATTTTACCATTTCAATCGTTATTTTCGAATTTTTGTCTCACATGTAGGATTCACTTTATCTCTAATGGTCAAAAAATCAATTATCAAAATCTTTACCAAACAAGTACTCAGTATACTATTAAAATTGTTTTTCCACCGTCATTGATTCTCATTTATGGAAAAATGAAGTTTAGAATAGTAGATTGATGGAGGATGTGTGGATAAAAAATAAGGAAATTTTTAATTTATGTGTAATATTATTTTAATGAAAAATGTATGGTTAAAAAGAAGAAAGATAAAAGTGAATTATGATAAAAATGATAATCAAACGAGACCTTAATTATGCATTCTCTAGGAAAAAAAAATTCAGAAAATAGATTTTCAGAAAATTACATTAAACATGCCTTTAATTTGATCTAGTGGGTCTGGAGTCGTTGGGGGTACTATTTGTCTTTTGTGGTTGATAGAGACTGCCTATCTTATTCCACAGCTGTCTCCCCTTTATGGTTTGGCCCCTTCATTAATGTTCACTCGTCCTTTCAATTTCATTTCACTTTTATACATTTTTCATTTTCCATGTTTCTGGTTTTTTTGTTATATTTTTCACTTAGTACCGCACGGGGTGAACACGGTCCGATTATGACGATTTATGCTATATTTTCAATTCGAATCATTTTATACGGCTTGAAAAAATTCCAAACAAACCAAACCATTTTATTTTTGAACCAAACCAAACCATAATTTGCGGTATCGACGATTTTAATTCGGGATTAGGGAATTTTAACATTTTTACACAATCAATACATTCTGTCATTTGTTCTTTCCAAACTACAAACAACTTCATTAATCATCTAGACACAATCATTTTTCTATCCGAACCATAATTCACAAGTGTATAATAAATTCAAAAATAACAAATAAAAGAAGGAACAACGGGAAAATGACTTGAATGGAAATCTGAGACTTTTCGAGACAGAAGAGAGAAAGATGCGATTCGAGTAGAAATCAACAGACTAACAAACAAAATGTGACTAACGATTCGTTCAGCAGTGACAGATAAGCGTCAAATGTTGGAAATGAGAATTTATGTTAGGGCTCTGAAACTTTGGACGTGATTTATTGCCGCAGTTTTGTTGAATTATGATTTGAATTGTTATATGTATGTATGTACCTATATATATTCATTTCATATGATTTAGAATAATTCTAGTTTAGTTTAAATATCAAGGGAGAACATTTGTTGTGAACTTGTTAAATTATGGGTTAATAATGATGAACATAATTTACTTTTATAATTATTTCAATGGATTGATTGTAATTTGTATTGCTAAATTGTTATTTTTCCTAAAAGTGAAAATTGTAAAATTTATAAGTTAATAAAATTAATGTTTTAATTAAAAAATTTGAAAATTGTTCGGTTTGGTTTTGTGCAGCTTTCGAAAATCTAAATCAAACCATTTTAAAATGATTTGGTTCAATTTGAAGGGGGAAGAAACAGCAGATCCATGTGAACTCGAACCAATGTTTTAAAATCAATAGTTTTACGTCATATATGTAAATCACTTTATACCAACTTGACCTTCCTTCACCACTCAACCAACCAAATTCTCCTCTTTGAAGCTGGCTTCATACGGGTGGCTATCGAGTTTGAAGCGGACACAACGAATGCCTTCAATTTTGTCCATTGATTTCTTGAAGTGGTTTCTTGAAAAGCATACAAGCACGTAAATATTTATAAGTTTTTTCAAAGTATAAATTTATTTGCTATATGAATATAACATATTATTGTATTATATTATATGAAAGTAAGTTGCGTTTAATTTATTTTTCAACAAATTGGTTTTATGAATGTATAAATACACATGTAAATCAATTAAATTAAAAATAAAAAGGACATTATTAAAAAAATCTCAATATGATTTGACTAAATTCGTCTGTAAAATGACTCGTACCCATATTGAAAACAGAGATTAGTATTGGGGGAAATAGCAGTAGAGGTCCTCAAGCATTTATGTCCCCAATCTTTCATTTTAGCTACACTTGGGTCTCCATTTCTATTGAGCAATTTTACCTTCGTCCATAATCAACAAGCTAAAACTTTATTAAAATTACGGTATTGACCCTCTCTTTAAATAAGCAAGAAATAAGATAGAAGAAAAAAGGGAAGAAAAAAGAAAAAAAATCTACTTATCGTCTAAACCACGCCACACCACATCACACCACACCATTTCACTCTAACCCAACTCATCTGCTATTCGAACAACTACAACTATCGATAATCAACGTTAGTTTAACCACCAAAGCAAATGGAACAGAGGAATAGAATTCATAGGACCACTTTAAGGTAGAATAAGAAAGGGATAGAATAGAATAGATGCCAAAGGAGAGGAAGGTGGTGATGGAAAAGGTGAGGAAAGTTTTCAATAGGATTGTGCTTTATGGTAAAAACGACCACCTAAGTTGTGACACTTTGAACCACAACTTACTCATATCAAGTCATATTGACATTCGATTGGATCTTACAACCAGCTTGTTTTTCTCTCTTACCACCTTAGATGTTGAGATGTCCTGATATGAATGCTTCATAGTTCAAGGTGTCATGATGTAAATTATAAATCCTACCGTATGTGCATACAAAACCTTTTTATTAATGTTTTTTCTCACGAAGGTTGGGTAATTATGTGGTGGTGGTTGTTTGGGTTTGAGGAAGAATAATATTTCTCTTTTTGTTCATTTTTTAGTTTAATTATTTTTCTATTTAAAAGTAAGGATAAAACTATCTTTCTCATAAAATTTTAGCTAGTCAACTAAAAATAAGTGTAAAATGGTCTACTAAGGATCCAACAGCTACTAAAACGAAAGACCGATGGTTTAAATGCGTCATTTTTAATAATGGGAACCTAGGTACAACATGTTCAAAGTTTGGGGTCCTCTGCTATTTCACTTAGCATAATACAAATAAGTTTGGGGACCTCTTCTGCTATTTCACTTAGTATAATACAACATGTTCAATGTTTGGAGTCCTCTGCTATTTCATTTAGGATAATACAGATAAGTTTGGGGACCTCTTCTGCCATTTCACATGGTATGGAACTGACTCTGCTATTTTCCTTGTATATAATTTTGAAGTGATGATAGTTACCAATGTATTATAACATTTATTAAGACATTAGAGTAATTTCAATAGAATTTTTTTTTCTTTTTCTTTTTTTTTTTGAGAGCAAGTTCTATCATTTGAAGAATATTTATAAATTTAGAAAGTCAAAATTTTGAAATACTCCAACAATCTCTTTATATTTAATACTTAATTTTACTACTCTCAATGAATATTTATTATTTTTCTCTAAATTATTTTCTTATTTTTTAATATTGAAAATTGAAACACTTTGAATCCATTTAATTATAGAGTGAGTTTGAGCACACTAAATTAAAATGTTAATTTATAAAATCTCTTAGAACATGATTTCAAAATTTGACTATTTAAAATATAAAGTATCTTACATTTAAAGAATCTCTTGAATATATTCTTAAAAGCTAGTAATTAA